GGCCTCGTCGTCACAGCCAGGTACAGCAGTGTTCCCACCGCCTGCCGATACACGGCTTGCATGGAAGCGCTCCATTCTTTCTCCTCAGGTGTGCTGGGGCAGTGGTCTTTGCTGAGCTTCACTCCGCTCGCCACTGGTGTCGATGCGGGGTTGCAATGCTCCCATCGGAAGCGCTTGAGGATCTTCTCGATGTACGCCCGCTGCGAGAGCTTCATCTCGCCGGTGAGCGGATCACGCTCAATCTTGATGCCCACAAACACATCTGCCTTTCCCAGGTCCTTGATACCGTACTCGCGGTTGAGGAGTTCACGGAACCAATCGGCGTCCGCGTCGCGGCCTGACATGGGGGCGTAGAGGATGTTATCCACTACAAAGACCACCCAGAGGTCAGTTGGTCGATGAATGAAGATGCACGGGTCACAGAGGCACTGTTCGAACCCATGGTCCTTCAGGAACTTGACGAGCGTCGTATTCCCTGCGCGAGGGGCTTCTTTCAAGCCATACAGGGCCCTTTTCAAGCGCCAGACCTTTCCAGGTACCTCAAATCCTTAGGACATCTGACAAACATAGGGTACGGCAAGGGAGAATTGAGGAAGGCGACGTCCACATCGGTCTGATAGATGGTTCGTCCCGTCATGGTACAGAGACAGAGAAAGACACGAATGGCAATGCCAGAGAGAGTGGGAGCGAATGTCTGCCCGACGTCCATCAGACTCTGTGCGTTCCCGCACACCACTATCCGTGCTTTCTTTCCGTCAGGTTTCTGTGTGATCATGATTTTGCACGGCAAGATCTTCGACGTGGCTTCACTAACATAGACAAGATCCCTGACATCCTTCCGGACGATCGAATCGTGCTCTTTGTGGATGGCTTCCCACCATTCCTTCTGTTCCTCGGTGCTGAGCTTCTTCAAATCGCTCATACTCTGCGGCACGAGGTTAGAGAGCAGGGCAGCAATGCCATCATCGATGGTCATATCACCGTTCACGATGAGTGCAGCGATACACGCGTGCATTGCCCTTGTGTGTGTGTTTGCGTCGCCCCTCAACAGCTTCACTATGGAGTCAGTGTCCTCCTCGAAGACATCATCCGACGCACACGTCAACGCAGACAACAAAGCCAGGTCAGCAGCAGGTGCTCGTTGAGCAGGCTGCTTCTTGCTCAACACAGTCACACTTGACAGGTCACATCGTCGTGTGTGTGTTTTGGTTGTGCAGGTTTCACCCGAACCAGTCTGATTGGATGTTGATTCGCTTTGTAGGGTCATGGCGACGGCGATGGGCCACATGTTCTTGTATTTCCCTTCAGGAAACTTGGTTACACGCGTGCTGCGACGCGTTGCCGTCTGTTGTGGTTGTTGTGGTGGCCCGATGCCCCAGTTGGCCCACTGGTCGACCGTGTCGTCCTGCTGCTCCATCGGTGCAGCATCCCTCTCACTCGAGAGATCCTCCTCGACAGGTTCGCCAGGCATGACAGAAGCATGATGAGATTGATCATTCAGATCACTCTGGTTGTGTTGTTGTGTGTGAGTGGCATCAGGTGATGGTTGCGCGCCTTCCTGCGCATCTGGTGGCTCCGCACCGGACCGGCCAGCTGGTTCCACAGCCCCTGATCGATCGACCTGCTGCGCACCCATCGGCTGAGCGGCTTGGTCGTGTGGTGGTCCATCTGCCTTTGCCGTCTTTTGTGGCTGTGTCGGTTCACGACCAGCATGTGGCGGGCTAACCGCTTTCAGTAATTGCATGGGTAGGTGCACCCTCGCATCGCCAGGGAGACCCTGCACCACCCCCTCTCGAATCGACAGGAAATCATGATTGACAGGTACGACATTGAACACGTCTTGCATCCACGCCGACACATTCCGCGTCGTGTGTATGTGTGTGTCGCCAGGTAGGTACACACGATAGCCGTCCTTCATCGAAGGATCATAGCCAAGGAAGATGCCCAGCTGGGTTTTGCCTTCGAATCGATCGTTCCGATCTCGCTTCGGCTTGTGAATCATCACCGCAGCCAAAGGTACGCAGGTGGCGAAGATTGGGTTTCCACCCTTTCCACATTTCATATGGAGTCTTCTTGCCTGGATTTGCAGATGAGGGGCACAAGTTGCGCAGATAGGCGGGTGTTTGAACGGCCCACGGCCAGAACTCAGACGGCAGGTTGGCGTGTGTCAGCATCCGCCCTCTCGCACAACGTGCGGCCCATCCGTTCGACGACACCATTCTGCTCGTGCTCGTAAGGGACGGAGAACTCCATCATGATGCCGTACTGAGCGCACGCCTCTATCAGTAAGAACTTCAACTCACTCGCATTGTCACTGCGTAGCCGTTCAGGCTTCCCTCGATGTGCGATGAAGCGACGAAGGGCTTCTTGCATGTTCTTGCCAGCTTTTCCTTTCAGGAAGAAGGCAGTCACCCATCGGGTGTAATCGTCGACGAACGTGGTGGAGTAAGTGAATCGGTCGATGAAGCTCGGGACACACGGGCCCACAACATCACAATGCACGAGTTCCCAATTGTGTGTTGCTCTGGTGCCCTTTGCAGTGTGTGGTTGCTCATGGGACTTTCCCATCACACATGGCTCGCATAGGCGACGCATCGGCCCGCTTCTCGGCGGAGGAGTGATCGGAGGAAGGCCTTCCGCCAGCCCGTTCTTGAGCAGCATGATGTTATCCTGGGGTTCATGCCCGAGAATGGAATGAATATGCCAGCAAGCTGCGTGTTGCGACGGGATCGGTTGGACGGGAAGCATCACATTTCCATGTATGCGTTTCAGAGTCCCGGGGCGCGCCCGTATCACAGGAGCTGGGGACACGCTGAGAGAGTTTCTCGGGTCTTTAGTTCCGTGTGCCGCGGATCTAGGCGCAGACTCATCTTGATTCGGAGGACCATCAGCTGCGTGATGGAGAGGATGACCGATCAGGCCAGGGCCTCCGGCACATGCTGCGAGTTGAGCTGACGGAACGCCCGACAGCGAGGGAGACATTGGCTGGGCACCCATCTGCATGGGGATGAGCCCAAGTGTTGGTGTCTCTGTCGTAAAGTAGCGACCACATGCATCGCAGTGGTGCCGTCTGTGTGGTGACCATAGGTCGATGGACTTTCCGCCCTGTGTCTTGTGAATGTATCGATTTGTCGGTTCGATGTGCACCGCATCGCAGTGTGTACATTGCAGCACGCCATCAGCCTGCAGATCACACATCGAATTACTCATCGTGTCTACGCACGTGTTCTGAGTGCATGAACCAGACAAACAGACAATCCCCTCACACGCACTTGCCCTGTTGACGGTTGAGTGGTTAGCCAGGAACGCCCCGACATCGCACCCAGCCATCTGCACAGCAGCAGGACGGAACGCTTGTCTCGCTGATGCACAGCCATCACAAACATGCAGGTCAGGGGATGCTTCACATGCCCCACTCGAAACACACACGGGTCTAATTGGTCTATGTAGCTGCTTCACAGCCTCTGTGCAGTCAAATCACTAGACAAATCACGAGACAGCATCGCCGCCTTTGCACGCATCGCGTGCGGTGTCTCGTCAGTGTCGCATTCAGCGAAGTCCAGCACATAGAAATCACTCTCGCGCTTGAATGGGATGATCATCCCTGTCTTGGTGTGGGTGATGTGATAGTCATCAACATCGAACACCACTCGATAGCCATCGTCCTCCAACGCACTCACTGAAAGCAGAGTAAACGCCGTATTAGGCACCAGTAGAGCACGGGAGAGTTTCACCGACTCCGCGGCGAGGGAACCACACCTGTCTAGGTGGGTAGTACACGACATTCCTGTAGTGTACCGTGCGACGTCGTGGCGACACCGAACGGGAACGGCCACTTCCCCCACCGCTGTCACGGAGATGCTCGTCCCGTCTGCGACGGTCAGAGTGCGACCCACGAGTTTCTCCAGCCTGATGAAGTAATGAGAAGAGGGAAAGACATGCCAACTGCAGTCCGAATCAACCAGTGCTCTGGATTTCACAGATAACACAGCAGACGTGAAGCATGCAATGTGTGTTGTACACTGGACAACTGAGGGAACCCCCTCCTCAGCTGCGAGTCGATGGGAAGTGGAGACCGGCAGAAGTTGATCAGGCTTCACCCGATCTCCCTCCCCTACTCACGCCTCTCTCCCAGACAAGCATGTCCGTGTGTCGTGAGTCGTCTCAGCGCGTCGATCGTTCCCGACCGGTGGCGTCACCACATCACGCGAGGATTCTGAGACCTTGCAGCCATCCAACTATGTGTGCACCTCTGTGTGCTGCCTCTCTTCAAGAGCATGCACGTGTGTGTGCTCCTCCTCTCTTCCCTGTACCGGTGTGAATGAGCGATTGCATCGGTGTCGGTCAGCATTCCGCTTGTCGTCTCGTGGCGTCTCGCGCCGACAATGTCGATCACGACGCACACCACCACCATGTCCCTTGTTGTACTTCTTGTCCTTGCCCTTGTTGTTTGTTGCGAAGTGCTCACGATGCCCTTCGCCCCTGTCTGTGACCCTGATGAAGGCGCTCGGCTCAGATGACTGGAAGTGTGGACGTATGTGTCTGGATGTGATGGACGGATGGATTGGATGCCGTGGACCGTGTGCTGATGGAGAGGATGCAGCCCTGGATGAATGGATAGACGGATGGAGCTGATGCTGATGCTGATGGATGACAGGCTGAAGGATAGTAGTTGTGTGTAGGCAGGCATGACGATAAGCCGTAGATGGGAACAGGGGAGGCAGCTGGGGAAGATAGAGGGCTGCTGATGAATAAGAGCGCTAGATAAGCCTGCAGTGCATGCATGCGTGGGCTTGGGGGCGTAAGACGGGAGATAGCAGAAGTTGGCCGAGCGAGTTAGTGCCCGTTGCGTTTCATGATTCGTTATCGTTCGCTTCCGATATGACTTGAGTCATTCTCTCGAGATCTGTTGCTTCGGCACGATCTTTGGTCCTTCCGACCACATTCCCTTCGGCAGGGCGTCTTCCCAAGCCGCCCTTGGAGCCGCAGAGTGATGGTGGAGTGCGCATGTGAGTGATGGTGGAAAACGAGTACGTCGCCCGGCTGGCCACCCTCCCGGTGAGTCCTCAGCGAGGCGACACGAGTACTCGTACGACAGCTAGCTGCCCTTCTGACATCCTCTTCCCTCAGCCAGATCTTGCTCTCTCCCTGAGTCCATGTGACTTCTCGTCCTTCCAGGACTCATCCTTGTGCTGACCTACTCCCCTCCTCTCTTCCCGACTGGCCGGATGCATGTCTTGGGATGCTTTTGAGGGTCATGTCTCACTGGGATTACATGCACGCATATCTGCCTGAGATCTGCCTGTCTGTCCGTCTGTGTTGTCTCTCTAGCCTCCCAGTGTGTGCCTACGTATCCGCCACAAGGTCCGTCCCCTCGCCGATCACATACTGAGGCAGACAGCAGATATATTTGACCCGCACATCATCAGTCAGGGAACACGGGACTCTTACTCAGAGCGGACGGCATGAAAGCATGTGTGTGGCTGGCTATCTCTCTCTCTCTCTCTCTCTCTCTCTCTCGGTTGGCTGAGATCAGTTGGTTGTCTGGTGTCTTTGGCTGCGCATAGGGATGGCTGGTATGCTTCGCGTGTGGGTTTGACTGTTGCCAGAGAGAGGACATCCGCACCATGACCCTTTCGTATCACTGGTGCATCTCCGTGTCTTCTTTTTCCATTTGCGGGTCTGTCGTTTGGCTGCGGGGAGGGTGGTCTGCGCATGGGCGCTGTCGGCATTGTTTTTGGTGTTGGTTTGGATGGATGTATATCGGTCTGGATGAGAGCGTGATGGTGTCCGTGTGGCCGTGGGGAGGATCAGATCAGCCGCACACGACGAGCCAGCCTCAGCCAGATCTACCACGAGAGCACCGGCACTCAACAGTGCGTCATCTCTGCTGTCCTTTGTTGTATTTGCTGTCATTGCTGTCGGGGCGTGTGCTGGCGGTCTCAGGTTGAGTTGGTTGCTGCGTTCTCCTACCTCGACGACACCATCGTCATTTCCCGCACTCCTGCTCTTCTCTCTCGGCTACCCCCTCACCTCATACGCGTCGGTCGGCTGTCCTTCACTGCTGTCCGGCGTGTGCGCTGACTGTCCTGTTGGAAACCGCCCATCTGATCCTGTTCGAAGTCTTTCTGCCCTGCTGATGCCCCTGCGTCGTCTGGTGCCTGTAGCTGACCCTCGTCTGCCCCCTCTGTGCTGCCCTCTCTGCTGTCGTCATGTTCAAGCCATCATCTCGTCCATCTCGTCCTCCTCGACCCTCTGATCTCGTGTTTAACCCTCTGCTCACCCACTACACGGCGTCCAGAACCATTCGCGAGAAAGTCGACCGCGCGCTCAGGAGAGTGAAATACGACCGACGAGACGAGCACGAGCTGGTGGGGTTCCTCTACGCCAAGGAGCAGATCACTGACGAAATAGATGAGCTCGATCAGCGGCGCGACAAGTCGGCCATCTCAAGGGGGGAGTACGACAAGAGAGTGAACGACGCGCATCGCCGTCAGTCCGAGGTGCAGAAGGAGATCGAGCGTCGCACGGCGACTCGGCGATCCCCTCCCCCTTCCCGCACGCGTGCGCCTCGTTCCCGGTCTCGTTCTCGCTCTCGGTGTCGTTCTCGTTCGCCTCGTCATCCGCCGCCCCCTCATCGACACGTCACGTTTGACGGGAGCGTCGCTGATCGTCGGTCGCGGCGCCACGGTGGTGTTCAGCTCAAGCCTGCTGCTGTCGTCCGAGCAGAGGCAGCGGTGGGTGTGCCGACGATCGAGGCTGCTGAGCCGTCGCAACTGTCCGAGACCCAGCAACCCCCCACACACCCGCAGACGACCACACCACAGCCCCCATCCGTCATGCCCGAGCATCAACACGCGCCCGACCCCAACACCGGAGAAGTCGGCGACCACGAGGAGCAACAGGAAGACTCTGAGGGGCAACAGGAAGACGAGCAGTCGCACAAGACCACCGAAGGAGAGCAGGAGAACGAGCAAAGGCAGCAGGACGAGCCCACAGCCCCCCACCCCACTCCCTCTCTGCCCCCTGGTATCCATCCCGTGGATCTAGCGACCCCGGAGCAGCTGAAGCCTTTCGTGCACTCGGTGGGTCAGCTGTTCTTCACCGGCATCTGGTTTTGCAGCAGCTGCACTCATCAGTCGGTGCGAGGCGCGACGATTCAGCGGGGCGGAGAAGCGGAGTTTTGGTTCCAGCGGCCGGCGTGCTGTGTCAAGTGTCAGAAACCCCAACCAATCTCGTACCCACACCCGGCCCCGGTGCTGATATTGGGTCCGTGGGACCTGATTATCGACTTTTCGCAGTCACCCCCGGTGCAGCTCGACGAGGAGGCTGTCGAGGCTTGCCGCGAGCACATCGTGAAGCTCGCGAAGTGATCCCATACCCACTACAGCGACTCCTTTTTGCTGCCCCCTTCCCCGACCCTTTTTCCTGCTGATCGCCGCTGCTGTCTGTGGTGCTGATCGTGTGTATTGCTGTTTGGTGTTGATAGCTGAGAGACCTGTGGTTGGTCGGTTCACAGTGGGACTCGTGTGTATATCGTGAACCGATCGATCCCATCTTCCAGTTCGAATCCATCTTCCTGTTCGATCCCATCATTCCACTTTTCGAATCCATCCTCATGTCACGTCCACCTCCACATTTATCCATGCATGCGAGTGACAGCATCTTGGGGCCCATGCCGTCACGTGTGCCACCTGACTCGAATGCTGCTGCTCCACCCCGCCCCCCATTAAATGAACCGTCTGCTGCTGCTCATGGCCATGCATCACATGACCCATCTGCTGCTACTGCTGCTCTGTTCCATCCACTACAGGCACCGCCGCCAAAGGCACCGCCGCCACAAGCACCACATACACCTGCACACATTGCATCACATACCACATCATCGGGGCATTTGAGAAGGAATGTCGTCACACCTGTGGATGGAGGTGGGCAGCCGTCCAGCCGTCTCGCTGCGGCGAATGCACACGCGTCGATGACGGCATGGCAGGCGTCCGAGAGGTTGCAGGGAGACCGGGGCGGCCCCAGAGCATCCAGCAGGTCTGCCGTTGATGATGATCGGCCGGACCACGCCCTCTCTCTGCGTGAGATCGCCGCCGAGCCCCACCGGCTGAACACCATGCAGCTGCGCACTGGAAGCCGTATTCCCACATCCCAAGGCACGAATGCCCGCGCCGTTGTCAGTGACCATCCATTCGCTGGCGACGCTCGAGAAGGCTCTGGGGTCTTCGCAGAGAGGGATGCTGCCGAAGTGTCGGACGGGTCGGACAGGTCGATTCAGAGAGACAGAGACAGGCGGAGACGAGGCGACGATAGCGAGGGCCTCGTGTTTGATGATGACGGTGGCCAGAACTCCTCTTCACCATCGCCGCCCACCCCCAGGAACGGTGGGCCGACACTCGCCGCCACACGTGGACAGTCGGA